ACAAATCAAAATTAACAGGGGGTGAGACCTCCATTGAGAGATACAGAAAACTACAGTCTTAAAATAGACAAAAATAATGCTGGAAAACGCTATTAAATTGGAGGATACCTTGAACAGTGAAGGGCAAAAGCCTGAAACAACAGCCTGGGTAATTAGAGGTTGTACGATTTCATACTATTCCTACCAGAAAATGACTAATGTCCCAAGTGAGATGAAGACTTCATTCTCCCTCACTATGAAGCCATCCTGAAGTGACAGTTTGTAAAAAGAAAATGAGTTTCTTTTGGCCCAGTGACAACACTAGGATGTTTTTGGTATGGCACTAAGAAGAGCTGAATACTGCTGAAGAAGAAGTACCCCTGTATCCACAGTAAACAATACTAGAAATCCTGCTGGGCTGGAAAGGTGCTATATGAACCAGGGAGGATGAAAAAACCTACATGTTACTTACATCTTAAACTACCACCTATTAAATGGAAGTTGTTATTTGAAATGTCTCAATGGATTTGGGTTAATCTGGGGGGGAACACATGTTGCTGTGAGAGTATGGCTATAAAATGGTGTGTCACAAGCATCTTTCATTAACAAAGTTGAAGGGGAAGCAAAGAGACAAACCACTTGAAAATTACAAAAATAATGATTCTGAGGGCTGTCAACACCACCTGGGACAGAGAAATGGTTGGTTATAGGCATTAAAATAGCCTGTAGAAATAAAATGGAATTTGAAAAAAAATTCACAGTAAATTCTAAGGGGAAACTTGGGAAACAGCAATTGTGAGAGATAGCTTAGGGAACTGGGAAAAGCCACATGACACAAAACTTGCAATTGGTAATCACTATAATGATTATAGAAACACTGGTGCAGTTTTGAAATAAATATGTAAAGACTTTGTATCACAGCAGACTAGAGACTTTCCTCTCTCCAGACATGGCCTTCTTTATGTCTAGGTTTGGAGTACTGTGTGAACATGCCTCATTCTGAGGCAAACAATCTTCTCATGGACTAGTGAACTTTGATGAAGGAGTAAACAATATGCATGTATTGTCAGATAAAAGCAAAACAAGTATGTGTCAAAATACATTTAAAAACAGCCTATAAATACCAAAGAATATAATCAGCAAGAACCAAAAGGAGCATTCATTGTTTTTTCAGAGCAATGGAAAAGGAGGAAGGCTGTAAGGAAACATTAGTCTGCTTTTGCACGATGGAGAAGAGTTTTTCTATGCTGCTTCTGAAGCCTTATCTCAAAATTTCGGGCTGCAAATTGCCTGCAGTGTAGCTGAACTATTTGTGAATACACCTATCAACAAAGCTCAAGACGTCTAGCATCAGTCAAGGCACAATAAATTGACTTCTATTGCTATTATTTAAGCAAAAAAAAATTAGACTCATGGGGGGCAAACAAGACTTGTAAACCACACTAGAGCTGAAGGATGAGAAAATAGCTAGAAGACTTTGATGGGGCAGACAAGTGAATTTTTTGGATGTACAATTTTGCAAAAGAATAAATGTAAAAATAGAGAAGACAGAAGACAGAAACTATGCAGAGCACCTATATACATTTGATTTTTTCCTTTCTCCTTTGTATTGACCAATAACAATAGAGAAAATACCTAGTGATCGATAAAAATGCTGCCACATTATTGAAATATCTTCTCAAAAGTTTACATATATCATCATCAATATTGTCTAAGATCTAGAGCTGTCTACCATACCAATATTGTAGTCCCAAGGCAAAAAAAGTTTCCTTCTGGAAATATAAAACAGAAGTTCCCTAAATAACTTAACTTTGCCCATATGTAAAGCCCTGATCTCTGTCCAGCAACACACACTTTCTAAATCAACAAGCAGACTGGATAAGCATTTCTAGTACGGATTTAAATACTACCCCCATAAATTATAGGAAAAAAAAAAAAGTGATTCTATCTACAAAATTAAGCCTATACCTCTGATTTAGTCCAAATGCGAACTACCATCAATAATAAAGTTTATGGCAATAAAGCTGCCATAATAAATGAAAAATTACAGCAATCACTAATAACATCTACAAGACATTTTCCATCCATTGGGTGATGCTTTGTTTTTTAAATATCCCCATGCATTTCAGTACTACACAGACAAGAAGGAGAAGCGTAGTGATGCAGAATTCATAGTGCATGTAGTGAAGCAGAATTCATACTGCTGAATTTAATTGACCCTCACCACTCAAAGTGTGAATCATAGTAACTAATTCAAAAGCTTTTCCCCACCTACTGACTTGACTGAGGCTATAAATTTATGGACCAGAGATAGGTATGGAAATTCAGATATCATGAATACCCCTAAAATAATCTACTCCCTTATAAGAAAAAAAGTCATTACAAATCACTGAAACAACTGCAATAAGCTGTTATGGTTCCAATATAGTGTTCAAAAGGAAAAGTGAGTGGGGAAACCGAGTAATTTTTTTTAAACTTAATAATAAATTTCTGAAGTTTCAGGAAGTTATTTTTAATAGACACATTATACTGGGTACTTAATTTCAATTTAATCAATAATTATAAAATTCTATTAACCTTAATTCATTTGGCTGTAAATACTCTCAGGATCTAGCTTTATCTTGTACAGTACAATAGCAATTATGTATCTATGCTCAGAAAAGAAAGCAGAAAAATGTATTTTCTAATCAGGAGGATTAAGAAGAAGTGGGACTGAATCATTCCATCTGAAATATGACCTGAGGGACTACTATCCCTACTCTCAGGAAAAATGCTAAAATGCCTTCCAGTATCAGATTCAGTCATTTACCAGTTTTAAAATTACGTCTTAAAGATGACATCTCAATAGCATGTCATGATCGCATCCTTCCATTATCAGTTCAGCAATGAGAGGAGAGCATGCTGGACAAACACCATATATAGGGAAGAGATTAAAACCACTTCCTATATCAATGCAAGTTTTCCTCAAGGCTTGATATTGGACATTACATACTGACATAATTAATTTTTCCATTTTGAATTGCCTCTCTCATTGGCCCAAAAGACACAAAATATAGGGCCAAAGCTTGTGCTTCTTCATATGTTTTTCTTATGACACATACTGGCAAACTTATTTTTTTTAAAAGCATTCGTTTGAATGAATGACCTAATCAGCCCTATCATAAGGGCAAACTTTATCATTGCCACTTTAAAATAAAAACAGGGATTTAATCTCTCCAATGTGATTTAAGTTTAGTCTTGCAAGTTAACACAACTTAAATGAGTGAAAAATGAGTAAGTACTGTCCCATATAAATTATTTTAAAGTATTTTTAAGTATGGGAATACTTTGACAGTCAGAATACGAAATTCTGTGACAGCCAAATGTGGTCTTGCATACCTATTCGATTTTAAAACAATGCATTTTTTCATCAGTAGAAATTATTAATGGTTCTTGTATTAATATCACATAATCTGAAGACCAACAACTCAGACAAATTTTTAAATGGCTCACTGCAACATCAGAACCAACCTAACAAATCTTCACCGCCTGTCTTCTATAATTAGTTTGAGGAACAGCAATAAAGCAATGTAAGGAAAATACTAGGTTTTTATGAGTAGAGTTCTCATTCATTTATTTCTTGTCCCAAATGCTGCCTGAGAATCTGTGGCTCATTTGTGGCACTACTTCCCCCGGCACTACTGCCTAGGCTGGATTCTGCCTAAATGAACTAAATCAGGAAAACTGAAGCAGAAATTCAGCTCCCCTTTTACACAGTGGTGGGAATACAACCTTCAAGACCATTAAGCTACTTTGCAAGTAAGAGAGCAATTCAACAACACACTTTTCACTTTTGTGCTGCTTTAGCAAAGTGAATTATCTGAAAATTCAGTTTCACTAGCCAGCACACTTAGGTCACCTTACACTTTCCGTTTTTCTGATACAGACCCTAAGGTTTTATTTACTTAACCTTTCATTAGCATACGATCTGAAACTTCAGAAGTAACATACATAAGCATTTCTTTCCATGTTTGTTTAGCTATACAAATGCTATACAACAAATTAAAAAATATTTTTATATTTCTAGTGAAAAAAGGTTAAAATGCAGCCATGGTTGACAGAACATATTTGTAAGTAAAAAGCATTGTAGGTATAATGAACTCACATCAACTCTAAGCTGAAAGTCTAAGCAACTGAAAATTTGTATGAGCACTTCAGAGAAATCCAAATATGCTAAATTATGGAATAAACACTTCAGGCACTCAATTCTGCCCCTTAATGAACATAAGCAAACCAAAGGAAAAAAAGTATGTGATTTAAAAACTTAGTATTAATCTAATTTGGAACCATAAATACCCAAATACTTCAACAGCAATCACACAGTCATTACATATTACAACTCATGGCCATAAGGTTATTTTTTTTTCCCTTACCTTAATGCCTTATACATGGAATTAATCAGATTTCCTGTGCAATATTTACTGCTGCAGGTCACCTCCATCTGTGTGCCTATGAAGCTTTTTTTGACAATGTGGTGTCAAGTGAAGCAACAGTAACTTTGCATAGAATTTTTTCCCCCCCGCTAGCTGCCTCTCCCACTCTAACCTATAATGCAGCAGTTGTCAATGCAGTAGCCTGCAAGACAGAATTAAGAGATCTTATCCCACTTTTCCTTGTGCAGGACACAACAAAAGCCAGATATGTTTTTGCTTAGCAGTGTTGTACTGCTGTGTTAAGGAAGATTATGCCAAAAAGCCGTTAGAATTTTTTTGTAAGGGGAGTGGAAATCTATCATACTACGCCACATCTTAGTTTGAAAATCTTTTTGGGTCAGAACCCAAGGTCAGAGTAATTCTCTTGTGCTATATTCCCTATGACTTTTTCTGCTGCCCAGTTGTGTATCACTTGACTTCTCCAGAGATACTGCAAAGTAAAGCAAATTCTGTAAAGAGGAAATTTCAAAAAAATATCATCCCCTCTCCCCCAGACTCATACACCTCTACATCAAAGTGCAGACTTTTCTTATTCCAGGACTATCTCACCTCTGGAGTGACATCTCGTGGTGCAAACCCTGTTCCTCCAGTTGTTAAAATCAAATTAAGTTCCTTTTCATCACACCAATCTATCAGCGTCTCCTGAAAGAGAACATGAATCCTGTCAGATCTAACAAATAACGCGTGGGATACAGTTACCTCAGAAAATACCTAAAGACTTAAAATGTCTTAAATGCAGAGACACACACAGTAAGTACAGGGAATTGTAAAATCACTCATGGCTTTTTATACAAAGATTTTAAATGACTATTTATAGCCAGTATATGACAGAATGATTCACATATCCATCATATTATTTTTGGAAATAGAAACTGAAATTCTGTTCTCCATCTCTTGACCTGAAATGGAAAACAAGAATTCACAGTTATTAATTTGTATCACTGTTGGGTTTTTTTAATTATTTTGAGATATAAATATAATGCTTTGACACATGTTAATACAGTATGTGCATTTAATTCAGTTTACATGGTTGATACTTATTACAGCAAGTTTGGTTTCTGTACTCCACTCTGTAACAGCCTGAAAAAAAGCAAGAACCACATATTTCTAAGCTTTTCTACTAAAAGATGCAGTAATACACCTGATGCAGCAACACAGAAGATTCCCTATAATCATCTTTTCTATATTCCCTACAAAATCTCAATAGAACTGCATATACAAATTCCAAGGTTGGACTAAGAATGCTTAATAACTGTCATGTAAATTCAATGACTTACAATACTGGAGAAGCCATGGTAATAAAGAAGTGTTTAATTTGATTTGCATTCAGTTTTTAAATGACATTTAAAACTAGTTTTCAAACTGACAAAAATTTAACATAAGCAGAAAATTTATTTAGCCTCAATATGATGATATCACTTACCCTTCATACTCTACTGTGGGCTAGCAGAGCAGCAGAATGTCTGCTTGGAGCTCAAAATCAGCTGTGTTATATGAAGTACGCTCATGTATTACACAGCAAAGTATTCATGTGCACAAATCAGATCAATTACTTTGACAGTTATCCTTTTTCTAGCAAAGAATCCTCATTCTTTGAAAAAGTTTAGAAAACATATCTTTCTGGAGTACTACATTGGGGAAAAAAGAACTGGTTTGGTGACTGCTGGCTAGAGGCTTATTATTTATCATAAAATTAGATCTGAGTAGTATACTGAATAAAAAAGTTTAAAGTATTGTGGATGGCCATAAAGAACGTTTTAAGAAGTACTACAAATTTAGATTAATCCCCAGGTGTATGTTCTGCAGGTTTAGCACTGCAGAACTATGTATCTTCCAGTTAAAAAGAAAGCTCATATACAGGCTCTTCCAAATTTCAGGTAGAATAAACTTTTGTCTGCCTGCAGGCCTCATCATACAAACATGTGCAAGGGTTACTTGAAGAAGTGGCAAAGCCACAAGTTCTGTCTTTATGTCTCCTTTCTTTACTCTTTCCTTTCACTTCCCTTTCTGTGTTATCTCTTATCTTTATTAAAATCACATTCACCTTTTTGCTCTCCCCCTTTGAAGGATGGCACTCTACCTAGGTGGGATGTAAATTACCAGAAGTTTATGGTTATATGAACATTTCAAATAAGGTCTCAAATTACTACCATATTTAAAAAGCCAGAACAAAACTACAGCCTCCAGGGGGGTGAGGGGGGGAAGGGAAAAAAAAACCCCAACACCAAAAAAAACCCTTAAGATTTAAAAAAATTAATATTCTAAAATAGGCTTTATCAGTTATTTTATGATGTCAAGGTAGACAAAGAGAATGAAGTCATTACAGTCAGTTCCGCTAGACACATTTTTGCTTGAAAAGCACACAACTGTGATTCTAACCTGTTCAGATTTCACTGAAGTCCTACAATAATTATGTTTTTCTGTGGCACAGAAATAAAATGCCAGCCCAGTTGTCTTAAGATTTGGATTACATCTGGTGCCTGTCCTCCCTATTTCTTTATATTTTCTCTTTTAAATACAAGTTTCTCTCATTTAAATACATTTAAGAAATCTTAGGGTCTAACATATAATTTATTTTCACCTCTTACTCCGAAGAGCTCTTGTTTCAATCAGCTCCCTCTCTCTCTCAGTTTGGAACTACCTGTTGGACTTCCTATGTACAGCCCAATCTTGAAATTACTTCAGTTATAACACTGCTTCTCAAAAACCTTGCTTATGATCTGTTTGAGCTTTCCCATGACCAGTGTTGATTCCACCAGTGCAGAAAAATCTTGCCTCATTCTTTCTCTGAATGAGTTCTTAGCTGTTCCCAAGTAAATTCACTGATTTTAAGAGCAATTAGGATCACTAACTCATGGAAAGAATGTGCATGGCACAGGGCAGGGACTGTGTTGACTGCAGACATACTTGCAAATTCATACAGGTGTTGTCACATTAAAACACACAAAGGCCAAAAGCTGTAGGATATATTCTTCTGGCAGTATGTCTAAGCCAGTGCTACCCGACATTTCAGTCAGTGACCAGCTGTTAACACTTAAAGAAATATTTCCTTTGTGGAGGTAAATTAAGCATCTCAATGTCCAAGATGCAACACTGCCATTAGTCTGAGTTGCAATCCAATGGGTAAATCACAGAATTTTGTTCAGTTCCTCCTGTATATAAAACAAATTATAGTACTCAAGCATCTCTTCACTAAACCACCCAGCCTCGACCGAAAGATTGGAGAGAAAATACATCATCATTTAATTTGGTAAGGGTTTTCCAGCAGCTATTAATGTTCATCGTTAAGTATTTGTTGTGTTTCTAGTAACTGTTTCTTACTAATAATTTCTGTGGGATAACCCGCCCCCTCCGTGATACCCAAGAAACCTACTCACAAAATGCACAAGGATAATGGTTGGTAAAGCAAGGGGTTTTTGTAACTTCATCATGTACCATCTTCTAATCTCTAGAAACAGTGCTGAAACCAGAGAGAAACAAATAGGGATTCGTTTCTGGAATTCACAAACAGTTCCCTGATCTCTGGAGGTAACTGAGGTTTGTGGCTTACTTCTCCGAGTAAATTTTTGCAGTCTGTTGTAAATAAGGCCTTATCACAGTCATGGTCACTCCACTTTTCTGTCCTTGATTGCTGCTTCACTTAAATAATGGAGCAGAGCAGTTCTACATGCGTAATTAATTATTTCCTTTTCAGAGTGACAGTGGCACAATGTTATGAAGAATGCTGTTAGCCAGGAATTTAAACACGAGAAAAGCTGCAAGACTCCTCCAGTCCTCCTAGTGCTACTGGACACTGGTCCTCCGCAGAGATATTGAGACTGTGAGTAATACTCTTAGCTGGAGCAGAAGTACTGCAAAGCACACAAAAATGGTCACCATGGATCAGAGTAAAAGCCCACGCACAAGAGCTGAGGTCTTGCGGACTGTTCCTCTACTATGAGGCTTCCTTCCTATGGTATTTCTTGTCTTTCTTTCTGGCCTATTTTTGCCATCACTTTGCTCCGAGAGTATAATAACAGTTCCACGTGTTTATGCTTTAGAAATTATTAGAACACATTCCCACAAATCAATATTATGGCGCTTACTCTTGGGATTAACATATATATCCTTTTTCTTATCAACACATAATTTAATTCATAATACAAACATTGCAAAAATACATTGCTCAAATACATTTTCATACTTTTCATATACCTTAACCATTGGATTATGACATGTACACTGTTCCCAGTTAAAACATTAATTAGGAAAGCATAGGGAAATGCTAAAAAGAACATGAATAGGCAGTATTTTGTAAAGTATCCACACAGAATTCTACCATTCTACATTGAAACTGGTTAAGTCACTCTATACTTAACAAGGATGTTTTGTATTTTGGCACATGCTAAATTTTTCTAGCACAGTGCAATCTTAAAGTTATTTCTCCTTACTTGCACCACTAATTGCATATGAAGGACCATTAAAAATATGTTACCATTTAACTGGAGTTGTTGGACAAATATCAGTGCTAAATATGAAATTTAGTTATGAAACAATATACTTTTATTTGCATTGGACTTTGAAAAAGAAGTTCGTATAAGCTGTTTTACAGACATGTATGCTATCCAGAACTTCTCAAAACAACACTATGTGACTAAAAAGATCATTGTGGCTTCTGGGAAGATCTACTGACAGTGCTTTGAAATACAAAAGTCTGTGCTCTCCAGCACAGACCTTCTGAAAATTACAAGCTTTGTAAAATTACAGAACTTCAACATTTCCAAATAAATCCTGTTTACTCTAAGAGATTATGTTTCAAAATGCAAGAAAAAACATACCACAATGTGTTCTTTAAGTTATAATGACAACTTTCCTTAGCGATCCAAGTCAAATAAGAACTGTTATATAAAACACCACATTAATTATCGATTTAGTTTTCTTTCACACTGTGTGGCCTCATGCTAAAAGAGCTCAAAGGATATCTGAGATAATTTTCATTTATTATTATCTAACATCATCATAATGAAGAAATTATAGTGAATGAGAATATGGAAAAACATATCAAAGAAGAGAATGTCTGCACAGTTGCAGATTTGCTAAGAAAACTGGATGTCATTTTGACCACCAAGTTTCAGAAATATAGGAATTGGCACATTTAGATCTCGTAACAACCTTTATTTTGTCACCTCAGCTCACTAAATATTATCCCTGATATTATGGCAGGAGAGAGCACAGATTACTGCATGAAATCAGAAATTCACGTCACAGCACAGAAATGGAAAGGGGAAGGGAGGAGGGGACATAAAAGTAACCCAATTGTTCCTCATTGTTGTATTATTTAGGAGTTTGCATCTTCCCTATTCAGCTGACCGTGACAGGTCCAATAATTTAAGACGGAAAAACAAGTACTGAGGACCACGAAAGAACATAACACCCCTAAAGCAAAGGCACTGAAGGAAAGATAAAAAGCCAAGTTCAACATTGAGTTTGAGAAAAAGGGTAGGCCTTAGAAATGTTAATATATTCTTGGAATTAATTTCACATTTTTTGCCCTAATTCTTATGAATGTTTTATTTCTTATGCTCACAATCTGTCTGCTATTGCTTGAAAGCTTTGCTGAAATGTAGAGGTATGACAATATTCTTACAGGTGGAGCAAACAAC